TTGTTTTTTCCTCGTTAAATCCATCTCTCTACTATTCTGTATTCTTGCAGATCATATACATGTTTTGATCTGCTTGTATACACTACTTATAAACCCTGTCAGTGAGACTAGCCACAGTACTTCTAACAGACACCTGACAAATGAATCTAATTAGATTTACTTTTATTTCAGGCAGCATTATCTATACCAAATTAGTTTGTTTATTAGATATACCACACAGTGAAACGATATTATTTATTTACAGGATAAAAAGGAAGGAAGGAAGGAAGATGAGAAGGAAATCCAAACACTCAAACAGATATTTGGATTTCCAATTATCCCATCCTCTATGTCAGTAAAAATAGGATTGGTGAAATGTTTAAGTAATAGAGCACAAAAACTAAGTAGTACCAAGGAAAATCTAAGTGAGGCATATAAAAGAAGCTTTGAAACTTAGTGATTACCCTGATAAACTAATCAGGAAGTATGTAGGGAAATGTAAAAATGAAATAAACAACAATAGTAGTGATAATAATAATATTATTATTATTATTAATGACGACATGCATGTCAAACATGCCCAAGATAATGACAACACCAACAATAAGGAATATAAATCATCAGTAGTACTTCCATACAAGGAAGGAACCTCGGAAACCACCTTCCGCAGAATTCTGAACAATGCCGGCAGGAATAAAAGTGGCTGCAATTCAAACCAACCACAAACTCAATTAGAAAAATACTTTGTCGCCTAAAGGAGGCAGTCAGATTAGCCGAGCATAAAAATCTAGTAGCAAAATCTAGATTAGTTGACCCGAATAAGATAAGAAATCTATAGAATAGTTCAGTTATAGCACTATATACAATTACACACGACCATACAATAGGATGGATGGGATAAGATGACAGTTTTAAAATCTAATGTAACAGGCTGAAAGGAGGGAGAAATTGATAACGTAAACTTTATTTATCGAATCAACTGAAAGAGAATACGTGTAATAGGAATGATTCAACACCTGTCCAGCCAGATATCTGGAAAGTTCTACTACCCCGACGACGACAAATAGGAGAGAGAGAACAAAGAAAACTATAAAACTCAAGTTTCGAAGTCGTGTGATTATAATTGATGATATGATTATGAACCACAATAAATTGTGTTCGAAACATTGTCATCCAGTTAATAATAATAATACTGTTTCACTCACTGTGTGATATATCTAATAAACAGACTAATATGGAATTACTTACTACCACAGTGCCCAATTTTTACACACATATATTAGCATTATCTATAGACAGAGAGTAGTCTTTGTTTAGGATTTCAGGTTTATCAAGTAGAGAAAAGCTGTGTGGAATTAGACACACTTTACGTAGAAAGATCTTTACCAAAATATTCGGTGCACTAAGGAATGTGTAAATACCTTGTTTTTCATTCCAACTGGAGCGTAGGCTTTCAGGCTTTCAAGCTTCATTAACCGTAGAGCTATCTTAACGGGGTGATGTTTCTAGCCTCATACCAAACACTCCATCATTTCCTGAGTTATTACCACTTAGTGAAATAGGCGTAGTATCAAAGTACATCAGGTGGGAATCGACCCCGGTCCAGTTATATGGTTGGCGAGCACTCCATCACTGAACCAACCAACCAACCACCAACGTATATGTAAGTACCTTAGGTAGAATAAATCTTTAATAAAACAATGAATGACTTTACAGCTGTTTTTTAGAATTTATTTGATTCCTTTGAGTTCCCAGTAGAACATAGGGCTTCAAGCGAGAGCTTCGAAGCTTCAGTAGCAGTGGCGTATTTTTTACTGGGTGGGGTTGTTGGCCTCATGTCCAACCCTCCCTCTTTACCGAGGTAGCTTATTACCGACTAAGCGAGGTAAAGAAGTGCGTCGACTAGGGATCGAACTCCGGACCACTTAACTTGGTCAGTGCCAGTGTCGTACCACCACCACTGAACCACCGACGCACGATTGTAGGTCTTCTAAAGATCCCTGAAACGCTGTATGATAGAAGACAGACAGATATGCAATTAATAGTGTTCTCTGAGCTGGTTGGCTTAGTTGCGGAGCTTTCGTCGTCCCCCTTCCAGACAACATCCCCTTTCAGCGCAATATTTAGCATAAAGTGAAATGATTTAAATTTCTTCATGAGTGATGTAATTGCGTCTCCTGGTAACTATCTTCACATATGTATTGAAGACAGATATCTCAATTTTGCTAACATAACAAAATATACGAAATCTGTAACACTGGTTGCACAGAATATTGTTATTTTTAATTCGTCATAGTAGAGTAACTCCGCTTACCCAAACACCCAGTTATGCGCCACTTCAATCGACTGCCAATACTCATCTGCTACATAGGATGTTTGAATCAGTAAGGCATTGAAAATTCGGAAAATTAGTAGGCATGTGAAAAGCCTTCGTGAATCTTTGAACAGAAATTCCATAATTAGCGAATTAACCTAAAAATGGTGGATAGTGAGACAGATTACTCCAAAGAAACGACAAGAGAGACACAGAGAATAAAAAAATATACACGTCAAGAAAAAGGCAAATACTGACTACTAACTACTATTATGCATCAAATATTACTCTTGTAGATGCTGTAACCACAACTAGTTGCGTTACAGTTTAAAAATAGGATGGATAACAATCGATGTGATTTTTCACAGCGTGTTACATAACACCTGGTTGATGTTGTTTTTATCAAAAGAAGACGGGGGTAAGTTTGATCGACAGTAAAGAGCATTACAATAACGGAAGTACAGTCAATGGGTCGAGTCGCAGTTATGTGGTCACGTAACCAAACGATGAAACTACGCCATACAGTCCCAGTTAAGCGCCTGTGAATTAAACCACAAGAGGTTGTGACAAAACGAAAACAAGGCACAACGCCTATTTAAACTGTCACGGTAAAGTAATGTACTTTTTAAGCTTAGGGCTTACACTTTTAGATGGTATGGTATTATTTTCTTTTTCAAGATAAAATTTGGAACCCTTTAGGGTTAATAAAAAATAAGAAAGATTTAAGTAACATCAACGGGCAATAGAAAAATACGCATTAATACCATATTTCCTATTACTTGCCTTATGCACTAATTGATGTCACTTTATTGCGAAGAAATTGGGATCTTTAGGCTGAAAAAATTTCATGAGTTGTATTACATACTACTGAATGATTGATAATAGTAGTTGGTTATCACTCGAATCAACCAGTAGAGCTTGCTAACCACAATGAAGTGACCGAAACACTGAACAACCGTTTCGCTAGTCTGCAGCAGAAGTCACAGTTTTACTCAGCTCAGCTCAGAGAGAGACAGAGACAGAGAAATCAGTTCAAACGCCTTAAATTCTGGCTGGCTGCCACTTGAAACTTGTCCAGAAAAACCACCAACAGCACGCACAGGAACTCCCGATGAACACTGATCCTCCAACAAAAGTAGAAGTATTGTATCCCATTAAAGCCAGATGGGAAGGCAACAGGATCACATAGGACTCCTCTGAAAGCGCTGAAAATTGATCCAGAGACTTCAGCGGGTATCCTCACGCAACTACTATAGAAGGTTTCGAAGGAACCTACCGACTGGAAGAAAGTCTACCCTGTCAACCTACCGAAGGGAAGAGACTTAAGCCTCCACGAAAACTGGCGCGTAATCATGCTTCTCTTCACGCTAGGCCAAATATTAACTAAGGTCATCCTTGAGAGACTAAAAGGTGTTCTGGATGCAAAAATACACCAGATAAAGCGGTGGATTCAGGGAAAGCAAATCACATGCGGATTAAAATTCAACGCTTTGCATCATCATCATCATCATCATCATCATCGAACAGGGCGTAGAATCAACCTTGAGAAGACATTCTTTGGAGTCGAACGTCAAGTAATTTGGCAGGTGTTTCAACACTACGGAGAGCATTAATGCAAATATTTAAAAGGCACACTGAACAGCTAGCTATATGATGATCTCAAGTAATCAACGACGGATAGCTCACCGATGTAAATACAGGAGTGAGACAAGGTTACTTTCTATTACCGACGATCTTCCTGATTGTTGAGTGAGAAGACAGGAATACGCTGGACCGACCAAAGGTCCCCAGAAGATCAGGACTTCGCGGGCAGGTTAATGTTTTGTGTCACACAAACTTGAATAAGAAACCAACAAGTTCTCAGAAGAAGAAGAAGAAGTAAAGAAAGGACTTTAAATGAACATAGAGAAGACAGAGCTGATGAAGATAACCTTCCAACAATCATCATCAAAGAGAGAAATTTGGAGGACACTTTCTACACTTTTCTAGCAAGTATCGTCTCAAATACAGACAGAACTGATGAAGATGTCAAAACCAGAATCGGAAAGGCAAGGTAAACCCTTCAACACTCTGAAATCAGTTTAGAAATCTTCTGCACTCCCCACCCAGCATAAACAACAGAACTCGGATTTTCAACACTAAAGTCAAGTCATTTCTTCTATATGGGCGAGAAACTTGGCTGGCACGTCGCGCATTCCTATCAGATTACACAGTTTTATCAACAGCTTGCTTCTCCGGTTCCATTCTGAAGACTCGATGGCTGGCTGGAGAGAGAATTAGCAACAAGAAACTGGCTGGGAACAAACCAATCAAGAGCCTATTCCGTAATTAATAAATATTCCGAAGAAAACGGAGATGGATCGGACACATTTTGAGGAGACCGCTCAGCGACATCACGCATAAGGCTGTCAACTTGGGCATTTAAGGGTGTGTAAGGAGGAAATGAAAGAGCTGACGGACAACCATGTAGCCAGATGAAAATAGACACGAGAGAACAGAGTGAAGTGGCGACTTGTTGCTAAAGCTGCATATTCCACTCGGAACCCATGGGAACAATCAATACAAGGAATGGTCTCTCAGTTTATGGTTATTTTCAATGGTAATGCAAGGTTCCCAACTGAAGGTTATTCATTTCACCACTGGAACAGGGATTTAATAGTTTGTAACTGTCAGTTTATTTATTTTTGTAACATATTTAAACTGTTGACTGAGTATTCTAATGATACTATGCATAACTGGTAGTCGGACAATCCCTGAACTATGATCAAAAATAAATATCCGGTGATCCCTGACTACATAAATTCACAATGAAACCAACCAACCAACCCTTCAAAACTTAACAACATTAACATTCATCAAACAAACAAACAAACCGATTTGTTAAAGCGCATTATAGTAAGAAATCAGTATTCATACAAAAATATTTATATTTACAAATAACACTGTCAATCTACTTCACAATTTACAGAACTGTTCCGTGATCGTTTGGATTTTAATTCTTCATTATCACTATTATTATTATTAAGTGAATTATGAAAGCCATTCATACTCTGCCCGATATCTGATATATCTATGTCAACACTTTGAAGGGCATCACATGCCCATGATGGTGGACGACAACCTTCATATTCAGTTGGATTTTGATCTTCTTTACCCATATAACACCGACGTTGAAAAAATGAACGAACAAATTGTGGAAAAGTGTTTTCACTTATAGCTTCTCTGCACTGTTTCATCAAGCCAAGCATATAAGCTAAATTATGCAAGCTGACAACAGAAGATGCATTGACCTGGCGACCTGATAATGCTGAGTGTATCCATGCTCGGGATAATGGACGTGTACACGTTGGACAAGGACAATTTTCATCGATAGGACGAAAATCTGAAGCGTATACAGCATGGCGAAGATTCAGCTACAAAGGAAACAATAAGAATGATCCATTAACCATCTGATTTTAAAGAAAGTTCAGATGAAAATGCATTTAGCCTGGGGGGTGATCGACTTGTACACTTGTACAAACCCCTTTAAAGCTGTCTTGGTTCACAGAGTAAGAGCAATTTGCTCGGATGAATGTCTTGATGAGGAACTTAATAATATTAAACGGTTGCTGAGTGAAAATGGTTATCCAGAAAAGTTTATTGATAAGAATATGAATCTAAAATCAAGGCAACCCAAGGTACCAATAGTTTCTACAAAGGTGTTATTCTTACAAATGCAGTTCCTTGGGGACAGAACAGCATCAGCGAGATACTAACACAGCGCCTTAGAAATGCGGTAAAAAGAGCATTCCCTGCTGCCGAATTACGCTGTACAACCAGCTAAAAGTACTACAAGGTTCATACAATAATTTCACGGGGATTTTATTAATTATTTAGCCATCGAGATATTAAGACGTTATCAATTAGAGAACTCCTCGGCCTTATGCGCAGATAATGAGTGGTTACAACCAAAGTGCATTTCACAATTAAATGCAAATGATACATTTACAAAAGCAATTTTAGCAGTGCTGTGAACACGGGTAGTAATTTCGCTCGAAATATTACTAATAACAAAACTTATCATTGTTTGTAAACTATTGAAATATAATTATACTTTATTTGACTTATTCCAAAATGCTCAAACTTTATAATGACATTGGCAGATTTCTTTCTAGCTAGACTTGAAAATAGTCCATTGAAACAAGTAAAAGATAAAAAGGGATTCTTATTTTATGTTATGTTGATGATACGTTTACTATTCTTGGTGAGAAAGCTGACAAGAGTGAAATGTTTAATAAAATTTAATGATGCACACCCATAGCTCATCTTCACTTGTGAAAAAGAACATGATGGTGGACTACACTTCATTGATGTCCAATTAAGCAGAAAAGAGGATGGTCTATAGAAAACCTACATCTGTAGGACAATATACACACTTCCTCAGTTTTGTACCAATCCGATACAAAATCAAGGAGGTCAGATGCCTCACGAATAGAGTAAGATGGATCTGTATAGATGACTTCCTAGAAAATGAGTTAGGATACATCCAAAATACGCTGGTTCAAATGGATTATCAGAGTAGATTTGTGAGGAGACACATGAACACCAGGTATAATAAAGAGAAACTGACAACAGTAAAAAAAAGAAACAACTGTTCCTAAAATTGCAATTTAATGGGCACGTGGCTAGTGAAGTCTTACATCTAAGATTATCGAGATCAATAAAACAAACTTATGCTGCCACCACCCTTCATTCGTCATTTTCCAGCCGAACAATTATGATTGCTCAAGCGAAAGACAAGCTACCTAGCTGTGCCACTTCTGTGTGTATCTACAAATTTAGTTGCTCCTGTGGAGAGAGCTATATAGGGCGAACAACTAGACAGCTTAACAAACGCATTAATAAGCATCTCCCTTCCCTCATAGTTCGCAAAATTTCAAATAAAAATCTATCAGAAGTTCTATTTTGGCTCATTTGATTGATAGCGGTCACCAAGTGGACAGAAATAGCGCCTTCAAAGTTATCTATCGCATTCCATCGAGCCTTTCGAGTGGAATTCGAACCCGTCTTTTAAACATAGCAGAAGCTATGGGAATTAATCTGAGAGAACAATCCTATTCTTTGCATACAAAAGAAGTTTGCTCTATCTTTGTCTCTTCCTTGCTTGCCTAGGTAAATTCTAATCAAAACCCTCCCACCTTTTCTTATTTTTCCATTTTCTTCGTGTTGCAATGATATTTATTTAAACTCTGATTATCTGTCCACTTCAACTTTAGTATTACGTAACTTTTAAGATTTGACCTAATTTGTTTATTGAATTGTCTACATATACACATATCACTACCTTTATTATTCTCATCGCCACGTACATAGGAAGATAGGAAAAGAGTAGTTGTTTTTGACCACAAATGTTTGCCTTCTATCTCAATGTATTTAGTAGTGTATTATGATGAGTAATATTCAGGTTAAGAGTCGACTGTTAGGTAAAGAGGGTAAGACAATCCATAAGGTTGTGAAACTACATCGGTTGAGATGACCAAGACATGTGTTGCGCATTCCGAGTCGGCGTCCTTCTCAATAGGCAATGTTTGCCTACAGAGGACTGGAGGTGGAAATGAGTTAGAGGTGGTCAAGTCGAAACGTGATATCAGTCAATGAATTCCTTATCTTTCGGTTTGAGCCAGCAACGTAGGCTTCATGGTTGGGATCCTCATAATTCTAAGAAATACTGGTTGGAGTCCTTTGGTGATATGGTTCAAAATCCTACTTTTATCATGTCATTATTATTTCCCCTCATATTTCTGTTCATTATGGTTTCTTTTTTAGTCTGTTTTCTCTGTTTTCGCTAAATTGTGTGTTACATGGAGTGTGGCAACTTGAAGTGTTGAACTATGTTGAAATACAGTCGGTGGTGAATTTCAGTAATCTCATTACGAGCCAAAAAAGCTCTCCTTCATATAGAAAAATAAATGCAACGAGTCGGGATTTTCTTTTGACGACATGCAAAGTAACGCCTATATATATATATATATATATATATATATATAATTCCCATGGAAGCATTAAGAACACAATATTCAGTGAAGAGACTCTTTTCCACAATGAATTTATTATCAAACTGTACAATCGTAAATATATGTATATAGTTTTTAAGAAATTATATCCGGTGAGGGGATTAGGTCAAAGGTGTGAATACATGAAATAATAATGGTGTGAAATGCAATTAAAATATTTGTGATTATAAACACAGTTAAATGTCAAGTAGCAAAACAATCAGTGTCATATATAGCGTAATACACAAAGGTGTATAGATGTTCCAAAGAAAACCTTATTCATGAACTTGGAGCTCAAAGGTGATCAAGCGTCAGATATGCTCAAAAATCGTTTCTCTAAAGCAGTCAGTAAGACGTTCTTTGCAGCAAAATTACAAATGATGTTCACCGGCCGCAAATTGTTCTGCATCTCTGTAAAAGATAAGCTCCCCCGTCTAGCCACCTCATGTGCATTTATCAGTTCGCCTGCTCTTGTGGAGCAACGTAAATTGGCCGTAGCCAGAGGACGCTTTTCACACGGATAAGAGAACATATTCCAGCATGGTTTTACGAAGGAAAAAGGAAGTGTGTGCGAAGCTGTATTCCGGAACACCTGATCGACTCCTGTCACTCTGTCAACCCTGACCATGATCATCTACCGAATCCATGCCAACTTGCTGCATTTTCTTCGTTAAAGACTTCTAAAGACAGCGGAGACCTTGGCAATTCATGACTTAAAGCCAGACATTTGTGTACAAAAGAAGTATGTATAATCCCAACTTCTGCCTTGGCCGTAGAGGGATAGACATTTATTTATTTAGTTATTCTATTTACCTTTCCCTTATTACTACGACTATCATTATTATTATTATTACTATTCTCACTCTGAATTGTTTCCACTTGTCCCACTTGTCATTCTAAATCCAAAATTATTAATTTTTATTTTTACAATCCTGAATTCTATCTTATCAAATTTCACACCATATTGTGTAACATTTTATATTCGTCTACTAATCTTATAATTATGCACCCCTTTCCAGCATCTATACACCTTATGAGCTATTCTATGTATCACATTGGTTGTTTTCCTACTTGACATTAAACTATGATTATAATCACATATATTTTAATTGCATTTCACACCATTATTATTATTATTTCATGTATTCACACCTTTGACCTATTTCCCTCACCGGATATAATTTCTTAAAAACCATATACACTTACGACTGTACAGCTTGATAATAAATTCGTTGAAAAGAGTCTCTTCGCTGAATATTGTGTTCTTAATGCTACAATGGGATATATATATATATATATATATATATATATATATATAATGGAAAACAAAATCAAAATCAGAAGAATAATATTTATCAAAAGACTCACTTGGCCCCAGGGTACAAGTGCATTACCGAATCGACCAGTTCGCGTGGGATAAACACAATCAAACATATCACAACCCAGTGCTATACAAACAACAAGGTCGACGGGGAATCCCACTCCCATTACATAACGTGGACGATCTCGAGGTAAGTGTTCCGTGGAAAGTTTGACAATACGCCAGAAATCATCTTTTGCCTCACCACCACTAAGACCACCAATAGCGTATCCAGCTATCTACAAGTAAATAACAGAGATTAAAAAATAGGCACGATAACATTAGCATTACGATTTATGTCCCTATAGAAAAGAAAATTTTCTTTTCTAGGGAGACCACCTTTTTATTTGCGAGGTTGACATTTTTTATTGAATCATTGAGATGATGCTTTCATCATTTGTGATGAGAACATGGACCTTGGAAAATTACTTTAAACATTCAACAATACCCACCAAAACATCGACTTTACTCTTGAAGCCGAATCCGACTGAATATTCCAATTCCTGGACGTCCATCTGACAAGAAACGCCAACAACTCTCTGAAAAGGTCCATGTACAAAAAGCCCACATGGACTGGACAATTCATCAACTTTCAAAGCTTCATGCCCCTAAGCAGAAAAAAGGAACCTGATAAACGCTCTTTCCTCGAGGATTCGGAAGATATGCAGCGAGGAGGTGATTGATGAAGAACTGAGTAATCCCCGAAGAACACTGATGGAAAACGGTTTTCCGCCTAATTTCATAGACAAGAACCTCAAATCAAAGAAGACTTCCAAACACGTTCAATCCATCCCGAAGAAGACACTTCTGCTTAATCTAGAATTCAAAGGTGACACTGAAGCAGAAATCCTTCGTAAGTGCCTCTCGGAATCTCTGAGGAAGACATACTTCGCCGCGAGCCTAAGACTAACGTCTTCCTGAAAGAAACTGTTCAGCCAGAACGCGAAAGACAAGCGATCGCATTGGGCCTCTTCAACGTGCATATAACCGGTTTACTTGCTCTTGTGAAGCTGAGTACATCGGCAGTACCATGAGTCAACTTGAAAAACGCGCTAGTGAACACTATCCAGCCTGGCTAGCAAAAGGAGAACGAAAACGGGTATATGGTTAAGTGACAGAACATTTGGTCAATTCAGGGCATTCAGCGCCATTCGAAAAATCCTTCAAAATTATATACAAGATTGGATCAAACATATCAAATGGAGTGAAATTAAGACATCTGGGCATAGTCGAGGCACTAGCCATCCGAAAGCTCAAAACCACGCTATGTATCCAAAAGAAATACGTTCAACCCTTGTCCCTGCCATGGCCATCATAAACAGGTAATTCTTCTAATGGTGACTATCCTATTGACTTTCTTACCCAAACTTCCTGTTTACTCATGTTATTTTAAGTTTTTCTTAATCCTTATTTACACTACCATATTTTCATATCCGAACTTTCTGTCTATTATTGTTATTTCTACAATATGTCAATTTTCTCAGTAATTATGATACTACTTTGTTTGGGTTTTATCTGTCCCCCTCGGTTTATTATGGTATTTTAATTCCTAATTGTAATTTTTATTAATTTGACCCTTGACCAGAAATTATTCTGGAACTTTCCTACCCATTTATTATGAGTACATTTTTGTGAACCAAAGACCCCACTGAGGAACGGTCATCTCAAGTATTGGGATAAGATGCCATCATCCATCGAGGATAATACTTTTTCACATGTTTAATAGAATCGCAGCAGGCAGCAAATGTTTTAAATACTTGCCAGGGTAAAAAACACTATTAGAGGTCACATTTCACCAGATTTAAACAAACTGGATACGAAGAATTATATGCAGCATACGGATGATTAGGGTTTTCGGTAAATCAGGTTTTAAGCAGGCCGCCACATTATGTTAAATCAGAGCGAGCGTTACGAGAAACATTTGCAAGAGGCTTTAAACTTCTATCCACAGCTACCTTGGCTCTATAGTGACGATCACACAGCCGACAAGAAAAGATGAGCAACACGGAACCCTGGAAGCGAACCAATCAAGAACTTATTATTACTCAACAAATATCCCGACGGAAATAGAGATGGATCGGAAAAACGGTGAGGCGACCACTGAGTGACATCGCTCAAGTGGAACACGAATAGGAAACGACGAATTGGGCGTATTTCCGAAGGCGACACGGAGGAGATCAAAGCTTATGGGGAACAGCGGACGCAGCTAAAGAGGACTACAGAGAATAGAACAAAGTGGAGATGTGTTATTGAAGCGCTATGTTCCACTCAGAATCCAAAGGCGTAATAACAATATACTTCATCATCGATCAGGTATAACGTTTACTGTACACAGAGGTATTCATACAACCTATTAAAACACATCACATTATGCAATGGTGTTTCCGGTTTACATACGCAATTATGAAGTGGTTGTTAGATAAATTGAAAAAAGTCTTCTCATTGGTTTTATATTGTAAATGTATATATACACACAGATTTGTAAAATTGCAGTCATAACCACTGAATAAATAAATAAATAAATACCTAATCATATCGTGCTAATCATTTCTAAAAAAAAATAAAACTAGTTCGCTGACGTGTAAAATACTGAACCGTTTCAATAATTAGAGAACAAAGCATGGAATGGCAATCAAACCTCTACCTCAACTTTATAGACTTTGAGAAGGCCTTCGACAGACAGCGTTGACCGCGAAGTAATTTGGAAACTACTCTAGTACTACGGCGTACCCCAAATATTCATCAACCTTATTCAACAGCTGCACGACAACGGCACATGTCAAGTGATCCACAACGGAAAACTCAGCGAGGCGTTCGGAGTCAACACAGGAGTCAGACAAGAGTGCTTATTACCACCAATGATATTCTTAATTGTGGTGGTGGACTGGATTATGCGTCAGACAGTGGGAAACGAGAAGACAGGGATATCCTGGACCGACGTGAAGAACCTAGAAGATCTGGATTTCGCGCGTGGATGATTTATGTCTGATGTCACACAAAATCGAAGACTTACAAGCGAGAACCGAAAAACTGGTCGAAGAAGCAGCAAAGACAAGACTCCAGGTGAACATAGACAAGACGGAGGTCATGAAAATAACCAACCAACAACAACAGCAGCAACATCCAGCGCCAATCACCATCAACGAGAGGCATTTGAAAGAGGTTACTTCATTCACTTATCTAGGGAGCATTGTCTCAACTACAGGAGGAACGGACGAGGATGTCAAATCGAGCGAGAATCGGGAAGGCGAGAAACACATTCATCAACCTGAAACCAATCTGGAAATCTTCGTCAATCAGCATGCATCAACAAAAAAATTCGGATTTTCAATACAAACGTCAAGTCAGTCAGTTCTTCTTCTATACGGATCAGAAACTTGGCAGTGGGTCACAAAGAATATTTCCAACAGCCTGTTGCAGACCTTTGTCAACAACTGTCTTCGCTGGCTCTATACTGAAGATCAGATGGCCGGAAAGAACAAGAACCAACAAGAAACTATGGGAACAAACAGAGAAACAAGAACCAATCGCCAAGCAACAAATATGCAGGAGAAAGTGGAGATGGACTGGACACTCGCTGAGGAGGCCACTGGGTGACATCGCGCGTCAGGCCAGTGCTCGAGTGGAACCCGAAAGGGAAGCGGCGAGTGGGACGTCCAAGTGTGACATGGAGGAGATCGTGTGAAGAAGAGTTGAAACAGTATTGACTAACATGGATGCAGGTGAAAAGTACAGCAGAAGATAGAAGCAAGTGGAGACGTGCAGTTGAAGCCCTATGTTCCACTAGGAACCCAAGGGAACAATAATAATAATAATTGCCTATATACCTGTATACTGACGGATTGCAACTTGGATGCAAGTAAGGATAAGTTCTACCACCAACTGAGTGAACTTATAAAGTATGCGTGCGTAAGCCGGGGACTTGAATGCACATTGCGGGCATCTATTCTTAGACGAAAGTTCTTTAGACAGCCAAGGGGGGCTAAATGCTCGCAAGTCACATAATGGGGACTGTCTTCAGCAGCAGATCGTAACTTATTCACCAACTGCTGGTACATCAATCGAATGAGTGCCACCCTGATGTTCTCTCGCTAACACACAAGCCTGGACTCAGATAGATTGTATTGATTTCATTTACCAATTGCTTGAGGTGTATATAAGACTGCCGCTTCTTCTGGAACAATTGACTGAGTTTTTATCATGCTTCAGTGTGTGCCAGGTTTATCTTGTGACTTGGTGGTGGTTGTTAACGTCATCCTTAATAGGTTAACATAAATGAACCGATAGCACCTTCTACCTCTTAGAAGTGTCACACCGAGCTAGATTGTACAGGAAAGTATGGGAAAGTCAGAATTTTACATCAGTGTAGAGTGAAGCTATTTAATCTTTACAAAGAGCCCACATAATGCATGCAACAGTCGCCTGGGAATCTGTCTGTTACCACCAATGGTGTCTTAAATATTCAATGAAGTCTTTGACCACAGGTTTGTAAAGCGCTTGACAAACTGATTCGTGAAGAGCAGGCTGGCTTTGGTTCAAGTCGTGGATACACTGGTTTTGTGTGTGATCATCATTCAGCCGTGCGAAGCGCAGGACAATAATCGCTAAGTTTCTTAACAATTAAGGCTGCTTCTGATTCGCTCTGGAGTTTACTGTTCCTGATAATTTTGCGACATCCTGGTAGGCCTACACATATAAACACCTCAGGCATAATGCAACCATACAAACATCTATCATCGCAGCCATACAGGGTCGTCAAATACCACAATTTCTCTTTAAGCTTTCGATTGATTACATCCATTAAAATCGTTTGTAGGATGTGTGGTGGTAGCGTACAGCTGTTACCTTGAAAAAGCCTTCTAACTTTGTGTATGCCGACAATATCACCTTACTGTCCTATAATGCATGCACTACCCGAATCCCACTTCGTTGATTAGTGATCGGTGTCTGTAAATATGCTATGTGCCTAACACCATCTAGGTAGAAATTACCTGGACAAGACCGTTACAAGCAAAGGCTATATTTCCAGTCATTCATGAAGACGTAGTCGAAGACTTTGTGTATATTAGTAGTTGTCTGAGTGATGGCAGAGGTGTTCGGGACGACACTTCTATTCCTACAATGCAAGTCAGATTCTCAACACACATGTTAGGTCAACTTTTCTATATGTTTCAGAGATTCGTAGCGAGAGTCACGAGAAGCATTTGCAACAGGCTTTAGACTTTTATATACGCAAGCTGTTTTGGCTCCAACCTCGGTCGCCCCTAACACCCCATTGCAACGTCAAACTGGCTTTAAAATGCATCAGTGTTGTCAATATTATTAGTCTACGCTTGTGAAAACTATACCCTCCAAATATAAAAAAGGTTCTGCAGCTCTATATGTTCGGTCATCACCATCTCTATAATTTAGAAGTGCGACGTCGTATGTTCAAACGCGAAGGAAATAGTCTTCGCGTAAGTGATTTTATCACGGAATAGTGGCTTTGATGTCCTGGAAATGTGCTACAATCGAAAATAATTAGTAAGTCAATCAATTTAGCTCATGCGGATACTAACAGCTGGATCTGAGTATGTTTCATCATCTCATTAGCTTTCTCATCACAGAACAGAAATAAATTTTAGATTATTACGAAGAAGAAAAATACAGTCACCTTCAGTGTAACGCATCAGTAAGTAGGACCACTAACCTTATCTTTACGCTTCAACATTTCATTGATACAGTAAACCCTCATTGATGGATCCAAACCACCTTGAGTGATCGCAAACAGATTTTGCTTATCTTGTTGATTTTGGTGAGCATCAATACATCTGTAGGAAAGTAAACGAATACAAGAGAAGAGAGAGAATATTCTTTTAGATAAATTCTTCTTCACTAGGTTCTACAGTTATATATGCATTGCATTAATGTTTTAACCCCCTCCCCTTCGGTGTTAATCTCTAATGGACTACCATACGTTTTTGGTGAATATATAAACACGACTGTATAGCCTCTAAAGATGATTTCGTCGATAAAGAAATGTTTTCCCCCGAATTGTCTTTTATCTTCTTCTGAATTCAATAAGAAAATAAGTTAAACACTATGCAGCACATAACCAAGCACACTTACCTGTCTAACCAACGTATCGATCTCTCCATTGCCTCCTTCATTGTCTCCTTATCAGTTAACACGTGTACAACATGATCCAACTGCATGACAATATCTGAGCCCAGTGCATTTTGAAGATTTCCAACCGATTCCTCTGGAGTCAGGAGCATTTCAGTCCCATTATGCGGTGAGGTAAACAGAACTCCATCTTCAGTGACTTTGGACAGGCTATTTAACGACACCATTTGAAAACCTCCTGAGTCCGTGAGGATAGCACGCGGCCAAGACATGAATTTATGCAGTCCACCAGCCTTAAAATCAAAATATGATAGCCAAATCTCAAATATACTACATAAAGAGAGCAGGATTACAAAAGGACGAACGAGACGACAGAAAAATTGTATGATAATTACGCATTAAAAAACCCATCAGAAGAAGACAATAGATAAGTTACCAAAAAGAAGATCAATATGAGAGTGTACCTTCCTGAGAATTTCTGGTCCTGGCCGATGACCTAAGTGGTATGTATTTCCAAGTAAAATGCGACAGTCAAGTTTTTCCAATTGTTCCACTGTTATGCCTTTCATAGAACCTTGAGTACCGACTGGCATAAAAACTGGTGTTTCAACTGGACCATTTGGACAGTGTGGCAACCATAGCTGACAGCGTCGTGCTCGAGTCTGTGTACATTCATGTAAAATATCGAATTGAAGTGCTGAACTTGCTTGTACGCTTAAACGTGGCAGCTGAGAATTCAGACTAGACGCCTTTAAACGGAAAAAGTGAAAATAAATAGATGCAAATTGAACTTTCGCTAAAAAATTTTTTTAAATCGAACGAAAATCAACTAACCTTGGCTTTAATTGTGAACAAATTTTAGAGAGAAACAGAGCTTTCTACTTAAGTCTAGATGTTGTATCATTATAAGAAGATCTACATACCTCAGTATCTCCTCAAACCTGATAAAAAAAGACTTAGCAAACATCATTAATAGTGTGACGTTCAATAAGACTCGGCAATGAATGAATACATATAAAGAGAAATAGCAACATTTTCTTTATAATGAGTATCATTCGCAGTATAGCTAGGACGCCAACCCCCAGATGATCTGTAGACACCAAACTGACAACAATCGAATTCTATGGAATGATAGAAATCTCCTATTCGATCATTACATATCAGTTTACTCCTAATTTGATCTCTTCATGAAGGCAGACAACTACCATTCGGTAAACGTAATGTATACTTCACCCATCTAAGTCGATGTGACTTCACTCCCTCCCTTCCAGACTCCACTGTGTGTAGTATTCAGGAAATTTAATCCCCAAGACACTGGATAAGTTCTAATCCCTCAACAGCCCCATTGATCGGGGATTTACTCCTTGATCCTTTAAACCGAGGCTGGAATTCGATTCTAACAAAACAAGAAATATTACCTAAATGTCTAATTGTGAAAGGAACATGTTCACAACCCTACTTTTCACTTTATTCGACTTTATATAAACCGTTTAGAGTAGTTGTTTTTGAAAGTCCCTCCCAAGGCGACATCAACCACTGATAATTGTAATCCATATCGCCACCTGCATTGTGGCTAACTGAAAATAAACTCATGGAAGGAACTCAGTTTTCATGCCACCAGACAAGCAATTGTTTGATATAAAGACTTTTGATCACTTTGAGTAGAAATTAGCCTGTCATACTGTGATGCTGTATAGCTTGAAATTAACCATCAATAAGTTTGATGTTAGGCCGTGAATTATATGAACATGTTAGCTACTTCAATTGTTTATGAAATTAAACTATGTCTAGGGGATCATGACTCTGTTTGAGATGTCCCAGAACAAAACAGTATTAAACAGGAAGAAGATTCTAAAAGTTGGTAATTTTGGAGTGACTGACCTAACACTCTCTGCCGTCTGTATACAATGCTTCTTCACATAGCTTACAAACAGTTAGAAGACAGGAAATGAATTTGCTGCTATTTTCATAGAAGCAACTTTTTGGGAAGAAGACTTCAAAGTACGTCTAGGCTGAGTATTTTTTTTATTTCTTCACGTTCCCAGTGGAACATAGGGCACCCTCAAGCTGGAGGCCTAAAGTTTCCGTAGCAGTGGTGTTTATTTTTCACGGGACGGGGTTGCTAGCCTCATGCCCCCCAACCTTTCCTGTTTGCCAGCTTTATTTCTGGCTTAGTGAGGTAAAGGAGTGAGTCGGTGGCCGGGGATCGAACCCCAGACCGCGCGCATGGTCGGCGAGTGTCCTAACCGCTGTGCCACAGACACGCACATAGGCTGAGTATAAAGCGACACTTTCAAAGGATAAAAACCATTTGAGTCTCTATGCATCTGGCAATGAGTGACAAATATTCTGTGATAGTTAGTGATTGATGCTAACACCCTCAGATTTGAAACGGGGTAATCCAGTGGTTGGAAATCGATTGCCTAGACTAGTGAGCCAGCCACACACCACTATACAACGAACATCATTGCGAGATGCATACATCCGAAAGAGAAGTGTATAAACAGTTTCGCGAGGCATGCATGAGCAAGCCAACCAACCCCCTTTTAAAAACAATAGTAATAATCAACAAGCAGAAACACAGATCAAGCAAACAACTAGCAATGTACAAATAAATCAGAACAAGAACTACATTAAAAACTAAGCGTATATTTACGTTAAACACTACAGAAATTGGTAGGCGTAGTTGTGCCAATGCAACTAACTTTTCGGGTAGGAGTGCTGATAATAAGTTAATCAAAATAAAATGCCTAGTACCGCATCCTGTACTACAATACAATGTTCGCAAGCCTGGTCGACTAAAAGTAAATTTTATGTATATATCAATGATCAAAAATCATCATCAGCGGCATATAATGTGTTTTCAAACTCAATGAACAGTCATCAGATTGGAAAGTAGGCTGAAATTACCAATGAACGACCAAGTTACGTAAGCGCAACCCATATGTACAAATCCTAAATTATATTAAATAACCCAAAAAAGGAATTTAACCGTATCAAATATCACTGAGTGACTGGTTTCAACAAAGAAGTCGGCACAGAAAGGCAACCAGTTCGACTTACCACGCGCCATGTAGCACACAAAATACGAAAAAAAAGAGGATGAAAAGAGATTCGAAAGGATGATAATAAGCAGGAAATAGAAGGAGAAACAATCGTAACATGGAAAATCAATAGGGTATAATGCATAGAGCAGATCACAAAGAGAGTAAGGACATTTGAGTCATTGAGAGCGATTTTCAGCCATACCACCAATTTTCCCCAGCTATTGGTTATTAGCACTCAGTAAACCCCGATTAGGAAGCCTACACCTCCCTAAGCATGAGTCTCAATCGATCAATATTACTCACCCTATTATACCCCCTAAGATGGGAGACAGAACACAAACAAATATGATCAAAGACAGCTGGCCTTTTCATAGAGCCCATTTTCAATGGCCATGTCTTAGTCATAAAGGAGGACGGAGCCAAATGCTGCTGAGCAGTACACACGTCCTTGGGTCGAGAGCTAAGCTAGAGATGACGTAAGTCGGTAAATGCCACACGAGCCTTCTGTATCCGTGCTGAAATTTTGTCAGCAATCAGTCCGTTGGGGCCGATACAACTCAACAAATAAGTGAAGTGGTAAACAAGCTCTACCACTCCACTCCCTGTCTAAGATATCAAACCGGACATTATATACAGTCCTATTTACAAAGAACTTTGGTGTTATAACTCAGGTACAATGCGTAGATCCTTTTGTTTCGTCTTTCAATAAGGTTGTGAAGGACGACAGTTGTATGCTATCAACTTGTGTCATACCCAAATTTATAGAGAATAAACATGAGGATGGAGTTAGCACTGCGTCGTGTTGTTAAACACAAGAATTTTGGATTTTTATCGAGATCACATTTAGTTGAATTCACAGATACATTAAGCCATTCTGATGACTTGCTTCTCAGTTTGCAAGAAAGCGAGTGAACAATGTTGTAAGAGACAGCTGCACTGTGTATGCTACATGGTCAGGTACGAAACGAATATCTACTGTACCAGCTTAAAGTAAAAAAAGGTCAAAAATCAACTAAAACAGCCAAAACATTTCTACAAGAGCCCAGAAACTGTTTTTTTTTAATAAAGTCACAGTTTTTTAAATATTATTATTGTTCCCTTGGGTTCCTAGTGGAACATAGGGCTTCAACTGTACGTCTCCACTTGCTTCTATCTTCTGCTGTACTTTTCACCTGCATCCATGTTACTCCATACTGTTTCAACTCCTCTCCACACGATCCCCTCCATGTCACCCACACTTGGACGTCCCACTCGCCGCTTCCCTTTCGGGTTCCACTCGAGCACTGGCCTGACGCGCGATGTCACCCAGTGGCCTCCTCAGCGAGTGTCCAGTCCATCTCCACTTTCTCCTGCATATTTGTTGCTTGGCGATTGGTTCTTGTTTCATCTGTTTGTTCCCATAGTTTCTTGTTGGTTCTTGTTCTTTCCGGCCATCTGATCTTCAGTATAGAGCCAGCGAAGACAGTTGTTGATAAAGGTCTGCAACAGGCTGTTGGAAATATTCTTTGTGACCCACTGCCAAGTTTCTGATCCGTATAGAAGAACTGACTGACTTGACGTTTGTATTGAGAATCCGAATTTTGTTGTTGATGCATGCTGATTGACGAAGATTTCCAGATTGGTTTCAGGTTGATGAATGTGTTTCTCGCCTTCCCGATTCTCGCTCGATTTGACATCCTCGTCCGTTCCTCCTGTAGTTGAGACAATGCTCCCTAGATAAGTGAATGAAGTAACCTCTTTCAAATCCCTCCCGTTGATGGTGATTGGCGCTGGATGTTGCTGTTGTTGTTGTTGGTTGGTTATTTTCATAACCTCCGTTTTGTTTTTGTTACAAGGTCGCAAATTTTGCGAGATCACAAGAGAGTAGCATTCATTAAACAGAAAGCAAAACACTTTTCCCGTATTTTCCCTTTTTTGACAGAAAATAAAGAGCAGAACCAACACCAGCGACTATGTTCCCAGCTACTTAAACACATGATCGATCGAAATTTGTACAAGTAGTCTAACTTTACAAGCAAAGGTTGACCCAGCGCCAAAATTCCCGACCTTTGATATGATTATGAGCAACAAATTGCGCTGGAAACGCCATCAGTAAATATTACTGTGTAACACCGTCAGCACTAGGCATTCAGGGTCGGAGAGAATACGATGGCACATGAACTCTAAACTAATACTATTCAGTCAGTTACAACAGGAAAGTGTCATTTTCTACCTCAAAACTGTTTAAATTTCTGTTATTCATCGTGAAATCCAGTAGTGGACAACGATTTCGTAAAAAAGGAATAAAAAAACTTGCAAACTTGTTCAAAATAAATGGCGCTTATATGTTTTTAATTACTGCCTGACTGAGTTTCAACATAGAAGTACAACACTCCAAGTTGCCATATTCCATATAGCCCAAAAAGAGAAAAGGGCGAAGAGAAAAAAGGGATTCGAAAAAAACACAACTATTTTGAGCAGAAATGTACGGGATACAGAATAGTAACATGAAAAAGTATGAGTATTTAGTGGATATGAAGAACTACAAAGAATGAATACATCTGCACCACTGAAAACGATTGTGAGTCATAGCTGGTTCTTAGCATTCTGAAGACTCTATATCTAGGCAGTCTACACCTCCCTAGGTGGCTTAGGTCGAAAGTCAAAGATTTCATATATGTGTAAAACTTGGGCACTCTGGTAGTAAGTAATTCCATATTAGTCTGTTTATTAGATATATCACACAGTGAGTGAAACAGTATTATTATTAACTGGATGACAATGTTTCGAACACAGTTTTTTGTGGTTCATAATCATTTCATCAGTTATAATCACACGACTTCGAAACTTGAGTTTTATAGTTTTCTTTATTCTCTCTTATTTGTCGTCGTTGGGGTAGAAGTAGCAGTGGAATTTTCCAGATATCCGGTTGGACAGGTGTTGAATCATTCCTATTACACGTATTTGTAGATGACACATTCGCTGTACTTAGAACACAAGATATAGGTAGATTTTTCGAACACATCAACTCGAAGGTAGAGGCAATCCAATCGACTTATGAATTGGAAAGTCAGGAAAGGGAGCTTCCAATGTTAGATTGTAGTGTAAAAAGGAAAGAAGATGGGAAGTTAGACACTAGTGTTTACAGGAAACCCACACATTGTAACAGATATTGGGATTTCCCATCATCCCATCCTGCGTCAGTAAAAATAGGATTGGTGAAATGTTTAAGGAATAAAGCAAAAAAACAAAGTAGTACCGAGGAAAATCTAAGACAGAAAGTGAGGCATATAAGAGAAGCTTTGAAACTTAATAGTTACCCTGATAAATTATTCACGAAATATGTAGTGAAATGTAAAAATCAAATTAATAATGATAGTAGTGATAATGATAATAATAATTTTTTTTTTTAATAATTAATTTTTAAAATAATAATATTAATGACATGCATGTCAAACATCCACAGCACAAAGACAACACCAACAATAAGGAATCTAAATCATCAGTAGTAATTCCATACAAGGAAGGGACCTCGGAAACCTTCCGCAGAATTCTTAACAAGGCAGGAATAAAAGTGGCTGGCATTCAATCACCCACAAACTCAATTAGAAACAAGCTTTGTCAGTTAAAGGATCGATCCTGTGGAGCCAATAATAATAATTATTATTATTTCATTTAGTTCCTAGAGGAACATAGGGCTTCAGCCATGCGTCTCCATTGCGTTCGGTTCTCTGCTAGAGTTTTCACCTGACTCCAGGTCTACCCACATGCTTTCATCTCCTCTTCACATGATCTCCTCCAGGTCACCCTTGGACGACCAACTCGTCGCTTGTTTCTCGGGTTCCACTCGAGCAATGGCTTGTCTAGTGATGTCACTTGATGGTTTCTTTGCTCAGAGTATGGCCAATCCATCTCCATTTCTTCCTGCCTATTTGTTTCACAATCGGTTCCTGGTTGGTTCGCTCCCAGAGATCTTTGTTGCTGATCCTTTCCGGCCATCTGATCTTGAGTATTGAGCGAAGACATCTGTTAATGAAGGTCTGTAGCTTGTTTGAGGTGCTTTTTGTGACACGCCAAGTCTCTGATCCGTTTAGTAGTACTGACTTCACATTGGAGTTGAAAATCCCGATTTTATTTTTGACACTGAATGATGTTGACCTCCACACAGACTTGAGAGTAATGAAAGCTTGCCTTGCTTTCCCGATCCTTGCTTTGATATCCTCGTCAGTTCCGCCTGTAGTTGAAACAATGCTTCCCAAGTTGGTAAAGGAGGTAGTTTCTTTCAGGTTCCTTCCATTTATGCTGATGGCTGTCTGTTGTTGTTGGTGGTGGTGTTGGCCAGGGATCTTCATCACCTCTGTTTTCTCTATGTTCACCTGGAGTCCTATCTTTGATGCTTCTTCTGCCAACTTGTTACTTTTCACCTGCATATCTTCCAGTTTGTGGGAAATCAGGCATATATCATCGGCGAAGTCCAGATCCTCCAAGTTCTTTGTGTGAGTCCATTTTATGCCTGTTTCCTCATTGCCCGCTGTTTGTCGCATTATCCAATCTACCGCAATCAGGAAAATCATTGGCGATAGTAGGCAACCCTGTCTTACTCCTGTCTTCACTTCGAAGGATTCCGTGAGCTTCCCGTTGTGGATTACTTGGCATGCAGCGTTGTCATACAACTGTTGGATGAGATGTATAATTGTCGGTGGCACCCCATAGTAGCGTAGTAGTTTTCAAATCACCTCTCAATCGACGCTGTCAAAGGCCTTTTCAAAGTCAATGAAGTTGAGATAGAGAGGTGACTGCCATTCCAAGCTTTGTTCAATGATGATCCGTAATGTGGCGATCTGATCAATGCATGACTTGTTTCTCCTGAATCCAGCCTGTTCCGGTCGAAGTTTCTCATCTAGGGCATGTTTGATTCTCTCCAGGATGATGCGGCTTAGTATTTTGCTTGGGATGGACAGGAGCATAATTCCGCGCCAGTTCTTGAATTGACTTGGGTATCTTTTCTTTGATAGTTTGAATAAGTATCCTTTCTTCCAATCCTCGGGTATTTCGCCTTCTTTCCACACCTTCTCCAGTATTGGCGTCATCAAGTTCGCTGTTGTCTCCGGGTCCATTTTCAATGCTTCTGCTGGGATTCCATCTGGACCTGCTGCTTTTCAAGCTTTTAGCATCTTGATTGCCTCCAGGACTTCTGATTTCGTCGGTGGGTTGATGTTCACTGGTAATTCTGCTTCCGTTGTTGGTATTGTTGGGCGCGTTGTAGGTGGCGGTCGGTTTAGTAGTCTTTTGAAGTGTTCAGCCCAGTGTTTCCTTTGCTCCACTTCTTTGGTGATTGACTTTCCATTTTCATCCTTCACTGGCTTAATTTGTGACGAGTTTTTGCCTGAGAGGTACCTAGTTGTTTGGTAGAGTGTTGCGAGGTCTCCTTTACCTGCTGCTTGTTCTGCTTCATTGGCCATGGCTTCATAATACTTTCTTTTGTCTTCTCTGGCACTCTTCTTTACTCCTTTGTTCAGTGTATTGTAGCTTGCATTCAACTCTTGTTTCTGTTGCTCGTCGGTGCACTGGAGAATCTTTTGTTTCACCATCCTTCTCTCTTCTATTAGCCTCCAAGTGTCCGTCGTGAGCCACGGTTTGTCCTGTCTCTTATTTCTGCCCAGATCTTCCATGCAGGTTTCGGTCCATACCGTTTTCAGGTTGTCCCAATGTTTTTCGACGCTGACCTCTTCACCAGTGTTGATTTGTGTCTCGGCTTTGTCTTTTATGCTTGCAGTAAAGATATCCTTTGTATCCTGGTCCTTTAGTTTTTGAGTGTTGAACTTGGCTTGTGGTCTATCTGCAGCTCCTGATTCTCTGAAAGCTTTTAATTTGAGTTGGATTGTTCCTTGTACGAGGTAGTGGTCTGAGCCAACGTCTGCTCCTCTTCTTGCTTTTGTGTCCAGTGGGCTGCGCCGCCACTTCCTCGAGATTGTGATGAAGTCAATTTGGTTTTTGGTTCGCCCATCTGGTGACACCCATGTAGCCTTGTGAATATCCTTGTGTTTGTATACGCTGCCACCAATCACTAGTTCATTGAAGGCGAAGAAGTCGGCGAAGAGTTCTCCATTTTCATTCATCTCTCCCAGAGCTTCTTTACCCATGATGAGTTACCTTCCTGTGTTGTCTGGTCCAAGTTTGGCGTTCATGTCTCCCATTAGTATTTTAATGTCACCGGCTGGAGTATTGTCTATTGCTGCCTGTAGTTGTCTGTAGAATTCTTCTTGCTTTTCGAGGTCTGCGTTGTTTGTGGGGGAGCCAATAAAACGAAACAATTTAGTTTATCCTAACAAACTGCTGGAATGATTGTCAGGTCAAATACATAGGTTAAAATAATAGAACAGGGACAGTTAGACTAGCCGAACACAAAAAACCTAGTAAAATCTAGATTGGTTGATCCGAATAAGGTAAGAAATCTAGAGAATAGTTCAGCTATACTACTCACTACATGCAGTTACACACAACCATACAATAGGATGGATGGGATAGGATGACAGCTTCAAAATCTAATGTAACTGCTAGGTGGAGGGAGAGATTGATAACAGAAGCTTTGTTTATCGAATTAACGGAGAGAGAACACGTGTAATATGAATGATTCAACACCTGTCCACACAGATATCTGGAGAATTCTACTACCCCAACGACGACAAATAGGAGAGAACAAAAAAACTATAAAATTCAAGTTTCGAAGTCGTGTGATTATAACTGATGATATGATTATGAACCACAATAAATTGTATTCGAAACATTGTCATCCAGTTAATAATAATACTGTTTTACTGACTGTGTGATATATCCAATAAACAAAAACAATATGGAGTCAAAGAGTTCATTGGCTTGTACGACGTTTTCGCTTGACCACCTCCAACTCTTTTCCAACCCAGTCCTCTGTCGGCATTTCCTAGTCATCTCAGCCGATGTAGTTTCACAACCTTATCACTCTCCTTGCCTAACACACTCTACGCCTAACCTGAATATTACTGATCATAATATACTACTTAATACATGAGATAGAAGGCGAACACCTGTAGTCAATGACAACAAATGCACAGTAAGAAGATCGTATCCTGTCTCTCTGCCTAGAGACATTTTGCTTTATTTTCACGAAAGGCTTCTTAACAAAAAGGGAATATGAATATAAATTAACACATAGAAAAACATTTACTAAATTAGTATACTTCGAAGGTATATACGACATTGTAGAAAAAGAAAAATAGAGAAAATCAAATTCGAAAAGAATTTTCTGTGAAAACAAAACCACTTAGAAGAAGAAAGAACTAGGTATGTATAATACATGTATCACTGAGAATGATGATGGCACTGATTGCAATAAATTGTTTATCTCTAAATTAACTTTAACAGACCCATCACTGTGTGCACATAAAATCAAACAGATTGGATTAGCGCAGATAAAATATGTCTCTTCATTTGTGAACTGAAACATTATCTATAATTCATAAAAAGATTAAGATTTCAAGAAAAAAAATACCTGGGGAATCTGTTCACAGCAATGTTTATCCAGTCGGTCAGTCAGTCAGTGGGTCAGCAAACAGACTCAACAATACGATTACGTTTTCGACGAGTTGATTTCGGTTTCCAATATGCCTGGAATGTCCTGTTTCGTGTGGAACGTCGCAAAGAAGCATCCGATAATGCGGCTGACTGATCGGAAGAGATTAACTCGTTATTTGATGATAAAGCTTCCGTATTGGATGGATTATTAGTAGTATTTACAACAACTGTTTCTTGTGTAGCAACAATAAACTTTTCACGTTTATTCGCTCTCAGACGATTTCGACGGGCTCGTTCTTCAATTGACTTGAAAAGGAAAATGTGAATAGTTAAAGAAGCAATAAAAAGCGGTGAAAAAACAACAACAACAACATGTGAAATGAAAAAAGAAATATGGTATTCAAATTATAGCATATGCTACCTATGAATATAGCGATACATCATCACTCAAGTTGGAGATGAAATTCGTTCCTTAATTGCTGATAGAGTTGGTAAATCGCTAGACAATGAGCTAACTGCCAGGATATGAACTGATGGAACCTCATGTTGTTTTCCTTCAGCTAGTCATTCAAATATGTGTTACGCAAGAGAGACAATAACGCACAATGATCAGAATTAAGTGGAATCACAACCGCTATTGTTTGTATATACACAGTGCGTCAGTGGTTCAACGGTAGAATGCTCGCCAAGCAACCATGTGGTGCAGGGTTCGATCCACGACCGGCAGACTCTCAAACCTCGGCCAGTTTCTAAGTCCTACAAAGAGGAAAGATTTGGCGTGAGGCTAGTGACCCCACTCCGTGGAGAAAAAAAATAACATCACTACTGTTCCTGAAACTTCAAGGTTCAAGCTTCAATTCGTATTTTCCACTCGCAAGGCAATGGAATGAGAGAAAAAGCTATCTATCCATCGGATTCCAAGTGGAACATAGGGCTACAGCAGCACAACTCCATTTCACACTGTTCTAAGGGCTCATTTATCGCTCGCTGGCTTCATGAACGCCCATAATCTTTCATTCAGTCTTCACGTGATCCCTTTGTTAGATAAACCAAATTGTTTTGTTTAATTGGCTCCACAGTCAGGATCCTTTGACTGCAAAGCTTGTTTCTAATTGAGTTTGTGGTTGGTTTGAATGCCAGCCACTTTTATTCCTGCCTTGTTAGGAATTCTGTGTAAGGTATCCGAGGTTCCTTCTTTGTGTGGAATTACTACTGATAATTTAGATTCCTTATTGCTGGTGTCGTCATAAATATTAATATTATCAATATATATTTGACCATTCTATTTTCTGTTAAGTACAGAGTACTTTTCCCACAGTTTAATACTGCATTAGAAACAGAATACTACATGTATGAATTTGAACATTCTGTTTCATGTCGTTTAATGTAAACCAAAATCATACGCTCAGTGATTGGTTTAAGAATATAAAATATGTATATAGCTGTTTGATCATTTGGAAATATACCTTCGCTTCCATGTCTCGCCTTCTGCTATTGCACAAGTATCTAATACAGTCATAGAGGAGGTTAACAGTTGGCCTGAAAACCTCAGCGGTAGTGTCTTTGACTGCTAGTAGCACTGGATGATACAGATTCCAATCTCGAAGGGAAAATGAATTCCTTCAAGATTGGTAGATTCGCAATGCTAACGACTGCCAACAAGCATGAAAACCCTGGTTAGGTAGGGGCTTCACAAACTGGAAGATATGCAAGTGAAAAGCAACAAGTTGCCAGAAAAAGCATCCAGAGAAGATAGGCCTTCAGGTGAACACAGAGAAAATAGAGGTGATGAAGATTTCTGGCCAACAACAACAACAGACAACAATAAGCATAAATGGGAGGAACCTGAAAGAAACAACCTCCTTTACCTACCTGGAATGCATTGCTTCAACTACAGGTGGACGGAACTGAGGAGGATATCAAAGCAAGAATCGGAAAAGCAAGACAAGCTTTCACTACTCTCAAGTCTGTGTGGAGGTCAACAGCTTTCAGCATCAAAAATAAGATCCGGATTCTCGTCTCCAATGTGAAGTCAGTCAGTGTTACTATACGGATCAGAGACTTGCACTGCGCGTCATAAAGAGCATCTCAAACAAACTACAGACCTTCATTAACAGTTGTCTTCTCTCAATACTCAAGATCAGATGGCCGGCCAGAAAAGATCAGCAATTGTGAAAGATCTCTGGGAGCGAAACAACCAGGAACCGATTGTGAAACAAATAAGCAGGAAGAAATGGGGGTGGATTGGCCATACTCTGAGCAAAGAAACCATCAAGTGACATCACTAGACAAGCCATTGCTCGAGTGGAACCCGAGAAACAAGCGGCGAGTTGGTTGTCAGTGCAAGGGTGACTTGGAGGAGGTCATGTGAAGAGGAGATGAAAGCGTGTGGGTAGACTTGGAGCCAGGTGAAAACTTTAGCAGAGAACCGAACGCAATGGAGACTCACGGCTGAAGCCCTATGTTCCTCTAGGAACTAAAGGAAATAATAATAAAGTAGGGGCTTCCTCCTGCTTGGTCACCAGTCGTTTAATGTTATATCCTTAGTATCAACTAGTAAATACACCACACTAACCGGATTTAGTGACATGATAAATAAAAAAAGAGATTAGCCAGCACAGTTTGCTTACCTGTTGACACATCAATTCATGATCATTGAAAAATTTCGGTTTTTGAAAGTGTTTACCACAGAATTTACAGACAAAAGCTTTTGACGGTCTATTTTTATTAGATGTTTGTTGGTCGTGTTTAGATAGGAGACATTTTTCTAACTGAAGCAGGAATAAAGCTGTTTCACGTGAACTGGACAGGGATGAATTAGAATTGGATTGATCTGCATTATGCGATGATGTTGACGTTGATGAAGAAGAAAAAGAAATCCGACTACTACTACTACAGACTTCATCGCTTGTGCTTTTTGACAATGAAGACTTTGAGCCTGTTGTTACATTGAACAGGCTAGAATGTTTTCGAGACAAATGGACTCGTAAGTGTTTAAGACTTTGGCAAATTATGATACAAAATGGACACCTGAATAATACAGAGTGAGAGGAAAAAGTAGAGTACATTTATTAGTTTACACTAATTTAGCGACATTAAAACAAAAAAGAATAACAGATATCATACACGGTTTGGAAAGCTACCAATTTATCAACAAAATTTAACACTTATACTTCCCTCAAAACTTCAACTATCTTGTTTGAATGAACTATTTTCAACCTTTGCCAGGAACATATCCGCTAGCATAGGGGCCCAGAGGTGGTGATCCCATGGCAACACCACCAACTTGTCTATAAAAGCTATTTGTTGAACATAAACTGAACATTCATAGTGCATTCCAAAAATAAATAATTCTTAAGGATACACTCGACGAATTGAAACCCTCGGGTACACACACACACACACCAAGACTTTATGGAGCACCACTACGTCCGATCTTAGATATGTGTCAATCGCCTTCTCATTCTACAGCAAAGTGGTTGGGTAAAGGCACTATAGAACCATTACATCGCGAATTAGTGAAATTCAGTGTAAAAGACGTACTTAGCTTTGTGGAAACTACCGAAAGCCTGAATGTAAAGGAAAAGAAAATGATATCACTGGATGTAGCATCATTATTTACCAACGACGTCCCACTGCTTGAAACAGTCAACTACATTTGTGACCAGCTGAGAGAAAGAAAGATAGATGTAGGAATCCCATCCGAAAAAGTCAAAGAATTATTATTATTGAAATGCACTATGAATGTTCAGTTTATGTTCAACAAATAGTTTTTATAGACAAGTTGATGGTGTTGCCATGGGATCACCACCTCTGGGCCCTATGCTAGCGGATATTTTCCTGGCAAAGCTTGAAAATGGTCCACTCAAAGACAAGATTAAAGGGCCTGACTATTATTGTCGATGCGTACGTAGATGATACCTTTATCGTTTGTGATAGATATCTTGTTTGTGGACTGAAAATGATCTACATCGATATATCGCTATGCGGCCTACTGCCGGCTACTGATGGCGTGTGGGTGTATTCAGGAATACCACTCCTTCTGGAGTATACTTACGTCGATACTGAACATGCTTTAATGTGCACAAGGTTTATCTTTCAATTCATTGGTGAGCATAATCAACGTAATTACACCGGTTAAACATGCTACTACATTTAAATAGAACACTGAACTGGACTACCAATCCAGCCTTCAGCGAGTACATACGGACACTGGATACGCATAGAAGACGCCATATAGATGGCCAGTAAGGCCACCAGAGGCTAAGAACAAAATCCGGCTATAAAGGAATACGTTTATGAAAGTTATTTGCAACTTCATGACGTCCATTCTAGAAAATAATAATGATAATAATGGCTTTATTCTAAACAATACTTTTGGTACAATGTGGAATATTCACCATGTAGTATAATACTGCAGTTCAACGTCATTTGGCTGTGATGTCTATTTTACACTTTTCCTAGACGTCTTCATGACAAGGAAAGAAGATGGCACACTAAGAAGGAGTGTGTATAGGAAACCTACAACAACAGGTCAGTACACTCTTTTTTTTAGTTTTGCACCTTTGAAATATAAACGTAACCTGGTAAAGTGTCTGGTTCATAAAGGGAGGTTAATCTGTTCAAACGGTTGCCTCAATGAGGAGCTTAAGATTATGAGAGAATTACTTAGAAAAAATGGTTATCCTGATAAATTTACTGAGAAAAATATGAATTCAGCACCAAGGGGAGTCAGTATGGCTACAGTTCCGAAGAAACCAATGTTCATAAAATTGCAGTTCCTCGGTGACAACATCAGCGAAATCATAACACAGAGCCTGAAGAATGCAGTTAAAAGAGCTTACTATGCAGCAGAGGTACGTTGTCTCTTCACAACCACCCCTATTCTACGTTCGAGAAATAAGGAGCCAGCTACATTGGGCGTACAATTAGGCAGGTTCATCGTCGTATTTCCGAACATCATCCAGCATGGTTAAGCAAGGGACAAACAAGATCTATTTGTAGTTCTATTTTAGCACACCTTGTTGATGTTAATACTGCATTTAAAATTATTTATCGCATTCCGACTAATCTTAATTTTGCTTTACAAGTTCGTCTTCTACAGACAGCTGAAGCAATCGGAATCCACCTGAAGAAGCCAAACCTGTGTGTTCAGAAGAAATTTGTACAACCACTTTCCTTGCCGTGGCCATCGTTACATGACTGTATAAACCGGACTATTTCGCCCCCCTCCCCCTAAATATTTGAAAACTACAAAAATTATAATTGTCCGAATTATTTTATTTTTATTTATTTTGACCACTTCATCTTTAATTACGTGTTATCCTTGTAAAATTAATTTATTCTAACCATTTCTACCTATTAAATGTGTATTGATTTTCTTCGTTTATTATCAACCCATTGACATTTTGACACTGACTGTTTATTGTTAACAAACATATCAGTGCCACATGTTTGGTAAACTGTTGTGTATTGTAATAAAAATGCTATACAGAATATATTAGAGTAGAGCCAGAGATGAGGATCTAATTGAAAAGTAAATATTTCTTCGCTCAGTCTTTCTGTTTTCTAAATGTCTAAATGGGGATTTTCTATATTTTATTTATTGTAAATTATCAATAATACAATAACTGACTTACTTGTATCCAAAGCTCGAGTCACTCCTTCTAAGAGCTTGCAAAGGCAACAGATTGAATTTTGAGTTCATAAAATTAACATTACGTGAACACTCAGTTGGTAGTTTCGAGGTTCGCTCTTCATTTTGTGCATGAGCAGTTGTATATTGCATTAGTCTCAATTTCCGCCTTTTACGTTTTGGATGAAAAGAGAGTGTAGGACAACCAGAGTTTGATCCATTGCGTCGAGGTAACAAGTGTCGAACAAGATGTCCAAAGTCTTCATTAATTAAAAAAAACACATACAACAAACAGGCATTATTAGCACCTTTTTGTTGGAAATGACAATTTTCTGAGCATGTAACGAAAAGCCGAAGTCTCAGAGGAACAAATGCTTTCAATAATATTATTTCCAGGCATCTCCTAGATACGAGTCATGCGGTGGAAATCACAAATTCCTTTCAAAATTAGCAATAGACGAAAAAGGTCAATTCTCCTCAGGTTCGACGAAGCAACTGCCATCAAATGCCTGAAAGCCGATTTCGGGTGTTTAGAAAGAAGCAGCTATCAGTCCTTTCCAATTCTGGCAACTGAATTTCCCTTCTCTCCCCTTCATTTGGTTACACAATCTATGGGTTTAACCTCAACCCCTTGGATATAATGTAACTTTGCTTGTCTCTTGTTTCTATGATTTGAGTTCAACTCAGAACCCAATTTATTAGTTACTCATTATCTTACTCACCTCTCGCCTTTAACTCCTCTACCATTGTATGAAAACATTTATTTTTGTTTAAACTTGAAGTCTCTGGGTAACAACTATAAAAATGTAATTTTGTGAGTACTGTTTATTAAGTCGAGAGCCTCCTGTCAGCTGACATCATGTAACATTTGCAAGTATGTCAAAATTTTTTATTCCTCTACTTTACCAGTGGAACACAGGACTTCAAGATAGAGCTTAGAAGTTTCGGTAGCAGTCGTGTTTATTGTTTACGGGATGGGGTAGTAGCATAAACAACAAGATTTTGATCTTCAACGCAAATGTCAGTGAAGTCAGTCAGTCGTTCCATACGTGTAAGAAACTTACACGGCGTGTCACGAAAAGCATTTCCAACAGGCTACTGCAGACGTTTATCAACACCTGACTTCACTGGCTCCAAACTGAAGGTCAAATGGCCAGCCGGCCAGAAAGAATTAGTAACAAAAAACTCTGGCTGGGAACAAACCAAACAGGAGCCGATCGCTCAACAAATACGTAGGAGAAAATGGAGATGGATAGGGCACACTTTGAGGAGACCGTCCAATGAAATCACACCCCAGGCCATCGTTCGGGTGGAATCCAAATGGGAAGTGACAAGTGGGTCGTGCAAAGGTGACATGGAGGAGATTGTTCCAGGAGGAGGTGAGAGATTATGGGCAATTGTGGACCCAGCTGAAGAGTACAGCAGAGAACAGAACAAAGTGGAGATGTTTACAGGATTTCATCATGAGCTGACATTGGTCAGAGAACCATTGGAAAACCTGGGAGTACTGGACAGCTGTTTCCGTTGTCCTAGTATGGAACTCTTCAGCAGTACGCACCCACAACCAGCGTTAGAAGCCAGGACCTTCTGGTTACAAGGCTAGCGAGCTCGTAGACTATGAAGCCACTGGGACCCGATCCAATGACCCATGAATACTAACTTCTGCCAATTCATGACATAGCGCAACCGCTAGCTAATAACTGCTGCGAGTATTCGCCCTCACACCCGACCTGCTGCACCCTACTGGTCACGACTTCCCACTAGAACCCCAGGTAACTACCTACCTGAATAGGGCCAGTCACCAGTGAGCATCTCACTGATATTCAAGTTTTGGTTTGTAGGGATTTGATCAGCTCATGATGAAATCCTGTAATCAATCGATCAAATCCCTACAAACCAATACTCGAAAGCGGAGATGTGTTGTTGAAGCCCTATGTTCCAACTGGACCCCAAGGGAATAATAATAATAAGTAATAATATGAACAATAATATCAATTAAACGTGATAATTTCTGAATGTCTCATTAAGTAAATGAACTTCCAAAGAAAAGAAGAAAAAAATAATCAAATTACCTGAGTATTTTTGACCGCAAGTTTCACATGAAAGTCCGTCTTCTTTGTAGAATTGATGTTTTTCTACTAAATGATTTAACAAATTATTCGGTGATGCAAAGGAGGCTTCGCATCCATGAAATACACACGAGTACACCTATACAAAAAGAATTCATTGATAAAGAATAGTCTGTTTTTAAAAATAATCATAAAAAAATATTGATATTATTATGTGTACAGTTTAATAACAATGAAGAATTTCTGAAAACGCATGAAATACTACATGCACCTGTAACAACAGAAGACAAGGGCCAGGCAACAGATCGTTTATTAAGGAAAACCAACACATATTTATAGATTTTAATGTACATTATTGTAGATTATTGTTAGCAGAAAATACAGTCTTTTGATTGGTTGTTTCTCACAGAAAGTTAACCTTGCATCTCTTTGTGGCTGTGTCAGATTATCCATATGCTAACTGTATCCGCCTACGCAAAGCCTTTGTTCTCATTTTCTCACCACCAATATTGGGGACATAAACATTGACGTCAATTACTGTCTACCAACTTTGGCTAGCAGCCAGCGCTCACCACACACCTACTGTCTACTGAAAATCGAAACACTTCAAATTGTATCTACCAATTCAGCTGGGCTGGTGGAGCGAGTTATATTGGCTGTTGCTCTAGGAACTTGATTTTTCGTGCTCGAGAACATCTCCCACTATGGCTAAGTAAAGGTGTAGTTGAAACCATCAGTAGTTCGATATTGGACCATCTGGTGCAAACCGGCCACAAAGCCAGAGTTGAATAATCCTTCTCTATCATCATCTACCGGGTGCCAGATAAATTGCCAAAAACATAGAAGTACCGCATGCTCCAAACAGCAGAGGCTATTGCAATTCGCTTCAAACAACCAGTGCTCTGTGTTCAAAAGAAACAAGTCCAACCAGCCACTACTACTGCCTTGGCCTTCAGTAGCGACTAGAAATTCATGAAGTTGTAATGTTATCTTCCCTGATTTTTCTGACATTCAGCTTATTTTATGTTGATGCTGTTCAGCTGTAATCTATCAGTATTATTGATTTGATGTTATTTGAACAGCATTAATGTTGTTCATAAGACTAATTCATTCATTCACTATAATGTATATATAACTGTAGAGCCTGATGATGAAGTTATCGAAAAGAATATTCCGTGTTCAGTATCCATTCTTCCGAAAAATTGTAATGGGCATTTTTAATCAGACAAACATGTATGTTTGTGTAGTAGACGATAAGGCATGTGTATTCTCTGCAAACACCTAAAGGTAAATAAAGGTAGAGTTCAGACGCATCTGAATACGCCAGTGGTGACGCCTGTGACTGCGACACTGAGTGATGTGGATTCGAACCTCAGAGAGGATATGATTTCTTTCAAGACTGTAGATAGGTCTTGCTGATGAGGGCTAATTAGAACGATATCTACGTCCATGGCTTCCTGCCGATTACCTGCAAACATATAACACACATTCTGGACCAGCAGTCCAGTGGATACAGCTTGGGCGTGAGGCCAGCTACCTCACCTGTATAAAAAAAACACCACTGTCACTGGAACTATAAAGCTGACGCCTGAAGCCAAATATTCCACTTGGAAGGACGAAAGAATGAAGGGGGGCGGCGGGAAATCAATTTTACTTAGCATCACTTATATCTCCTGTATTTTAGAATAAAATGAAAATCGGTGACAACAGATTCATCGGAACCACAAAGCATAGTGGGATAGTATACCAACTGATAAAGTAACACATGAATTAACATACGAAGCCAATATTACCTGTTTATCTTTATGATGCACCATGTGCACACGAAGTTGCAGATATGAATCGAATCGCTGGTCACAAAATCGACAAATCCATACTTTATGAGGTAATGCGCGTGGTGCAGACGGATTGTTAGTCACCTATTTGAAATATAGATTATTGATGAAGAAGAAGTCATACTGGGAAAATTTAACACAATGTGAGTGACAGTAGTAATTAGAAACTTTCCGCAAAAAATGATTTCACAAACAAACTGAAAAGTCCGGTATTGAATTCAGACAGACTATTAACACCATGCGAGGTAATCCTGTTACTCTTTATATCAATTATAAATTTAAATGAAGTTTTACAAGAATATTACTAGAATTAATTTCTGCGAGAGCTAATATAAAAAAATTTATAGCTATTAACCTTTTAAGCAGTGTGCTTTTGGAAGTCTGTGGGCGGTTGTTACTTCCCGGCTGCCCTCACCGTGGAAGTTGGTTGCGTCTTCGGGTACCTGAAATAGAGAAAAGGTTAGTGTTGCGTGATCGCAGAACCCAGGGGACAACTGCTTGAGGCCGGTCACACGCGGCCTGTTTTTGTTTCTTCTTTTTTATTTGGTGTGTCTCAGTAGCATATTTATCACTTCTGTCCTGTGACACGGCAGCAGGAAGCGCGGTCGTTGTTAATCCGGGCCCCGACCGATCCGGCATGATATTTTGTGAATTTGTTTGAATCATAGTATTGGAGTGGGTAGCCGCTTTTTGTCTAACCGCTATCCAAACAACCTTCCAGGCATGTTAGGACCTACAGGAACATAAGTTCCAGCCAGTGTAGCTCGTTGGGTCATTGCGATATGCAAGCCCAACCACCACGTCAAGGTAGCAGCTATCGGTCGGGAGCCTTTTAAGCGGAGAATTCTAATGCACCAATCACTGTGGTAATAACTTTATTTCACTGAGTGACACCAAATGAATAGTCCTGAAGATGGAGTAATTAAAGGAACTGAAGCTTCCAATGCACCTAGTGGTTTTTCAGATTGATATATATTCATGGTGCAAAAAATTATACTCACAGCTAGGCATTAAGATAGGTAACTCCTCCAGTTCAAGATATGTTCACTGATGAAGTAAGAGCTGTATATTCGCGAACAATAAACCCTAAACTAATTGAATGATTAACCATTATTTTTACATGTAAGAGAGACCAAAAAGCAGAACGGTGCGTCGGTGGTACTTACTTTACTTTACTTCGGCTATCTCCTACGGGAGGATGAGCCAGCTTCATGAACATCTCGAATCATCGCTGCCCAGGCGCGGAGTTCTGATGCAAGGTTTTGCGACAGGGTTATCCAATTCTTGTTCCACAGAAGGAGTCCGTAGACGGTTTGTAGCCCCAGGCACTCCATATCAGCCTTGACTGTACCAAGCCATGTTTTCAGCTGTCCACCCCTGCGACATCACCAAGATGGTAATGGCGAGGGATTTAGAACTGATTTGACCAGATCGTCATCTGGTCGGCGCAGAACACGGCCAAACCACCGAAGGCGACGTTGTTGGACCAGAACGTTTGTAAGAGAGTTCATGAAGTTTCATGGGAATTTGGTACGAGTGATGTCCCCAGAATCGCTCGGCCTTTTGTTTGAGAGTGCAGCTCCAGCCTTTACACAACCAAGTGTGACCTACAAGGCAGTAGGAGTGGAGTAGGGAAACCACTATCCATTGGCAGCCAGTGACCGGAGTTCGGTTCATACGCCTTTTTGAATGGGGCCAGACATCCAGGACATCCAACAAGCCCTCTGTCCATACGTTTGACGGTGAGCTCCAGTGAGCTTCATACGCCAGTCGTTGGAGGTTTGGAATCAGGGTTTAGCCATCTCCCCTAGACTGTCATCCAATGGACAGTCAACCCAGTGAAGAGCGCCGGGTATCCGCTTTCGCCCTCTCACTTTGGTGAAAAACACCTCCGGCAGTGAGTAGGACTTCCTCAGGAGAGGATATGTAAGACGCCCGGTCATATGGGAGCATTTCAAGAGGTGTGCAGAGGGGTGGTAGAACACACATAGGTGGTCCGCGGTTTGATTCCCGGCAGACACACACTTTTAACCCTCACTTAGTTGGTGGAGGGTTGAGTGTGAAGCCAGCAAACCCGCTCCATCGAAAGAAACACTACTGCTACTGAAACTTCGAACCTGAAGTTTGAAGCCCTAATTTCTATTCAATATAAAGGAATAAAATTAAAATAAAAAGCAAAATATGAAGGTCTGATTAAATAGGTATCAATAGAGCATATGATTAACAATGTGAAGTAATTGTTGTACATGTACTTCAGCATTTTTCAGATTTACCTCTGAATTGTGAGATGTTTTGGATATGAGAGAAACTGTACATGAAGACGCCGGAGGCCAAGCCTTGTGACTTGAAAGATGACGGCGAAGGTTTGAAGCTTGAGTGAATTTACGTCCGCAGAGTACACATTGGAAGGGACGTTCACCAGTGTGAATACGCAAGTGTTCTACCAAATGGCTTTGACGCTGGAAAGTTAATGGACAATGGGTACAATTCCACTTTATCTTTTCGGGTATTTTGTTATCTTTTGGTTGAATGACAGGCGTATCCACAGGTATGCAGTTATTGGAAACATTTTCAGCATTTTGATACTCTGCATTATGAGGCAGTGCTTCATGACCCGTATTATTATTACACGCGTATACCACAGTTGGCGAATACACATCAGAAACAGTGTGTAACTGCTGCTCTCCGTCAGTTATAATACTTGCCTAAAAAATACGAATAAAGTACTACAATGGAAACACTAACAAACTATAAGGTTTTGTGGAGGTGCTTTCGACACATAAAAAGGAAAAAAATATACAAGAACACAAGACTTGACGTAACTGGCTGAGTTTCAACATAGAACTTTGCACAGAGGTACATTAGTACAAGTCTCCAAACTGTGTGTGGCACACAACGAAAGTTCAAAAGAACTATAATGGACAGAAATATGCAGGAGAAAAGAAAGTAACATGGAAAAAATGAGGACTTGATGGATCTGAGAGAATGCATCTCCACCATTGAGAACGGTTTTCAGCTATCTCAATAACGGTCTTAAGCCACTGGTTTTCAGAATCCCGATGACCCCAAACCAATCAGACGTGGTTCGAACCAACAATCAAAGAATATATGGACTGTCAGGTACTGTTTGACCACCCCTAACTCTTTTCAAATCTAATCCTATGCCGGCTAACATAGCTCAACGAGGATGGGGATAGCTCGGTATTTGAGACACGTGTCCTAATCGCCACAGTCGATATAGTTTCACAACCTTATCGACCGACTTACCCTCCTTACCTGGTACTCTACGCTTAACCTCACTACTGCCCACAATAGTATACCCACTTAACGTGGGAGACAGAAAGCGAACATCTGCAGTCAGAGACGATTAGACCGCTCCATATCTTCCTCTTTTAGAGGGCATATCTCACGGTCATAAACCAAGATGAAGTGAACTGCTGAACAGTACACGCATCCTATGATCGATAGCCGGATATCACAAAACATATTTGCTGCTAAAATCTTTCAAACACTGGGAACATCATTTTATCTTTTTAATTCTAAGAAAATGTAACCTGTGACATGTGAACTCCGAACTATAGTACGAGTTTAACACTACTTTCAATCAGTAAAACTGAGTGGTGAGACTGTGTCTGGGATAATTTCCGACTGGTAGACTACTAATGATGTAATAAGTACTGGTTTGAGGTGTAGTGCGAGTCTGCCTTATTCGGGGATTGGAAACGTCGTACTAGTAGCCTGAAGATCGCGAACTTAACTCATTCCATCGTCTAGATTTTCGTTTCACCTTCAAACATAGTCTACCACATAAATAAATACTAACCAGCGGAAGAAAAAGAACGGGGCAACATCATAATCTCTCGCTGAAGTGGAAAAGTAAATTCCTGACGGTTTGTTACTGTTCAGAAACCCATTTTTCAATAAATGAGATTGTACAGTTTGGCCTAATTTGGAACAGTAAATGTAACAAATCGCATTTGAATACAAAAATAATAACAGAAATCAGCATAAATAAGCAGAAAGTTGGTAAATTTTGTCATCCAACTCTCATTTTGTTGCTCCTTGCTTAAAAACAACACAGTTATGCAGGAGGAATCAAGGGAAAATGCCCAGATGCACCCAAAACACTTATTCCTTTGGAGACAAATAGCCAACGGTCCCCCAGACAGGCCCAAATTACAAAATCTACACTTTCGTCCAAGATTCAAATCAACAAACTGATGGAATGACTTTAAATTATCACTTCATATCTTTGGTACCACTCTCGATCCTGTTATTTGTCATTTACATGACCTATAGCTACCTAAGTTGAACACATTCCAATAATTCTAGCAGATCATTTTACTTCGTTGATTGATGTGCTTTATCTACTAAACATTTAATCACCAGAAACCGTAACCATAATATTAAAACTAAAGCTTTAAGCACGCTAGTAAACAATCACCCTCATAACTCTTTAGCTGTGCATAATGTGACAATTATTTATTCATTTCCGAGTCAAAATTTCATCAGATACAAAACCGAAGCAGGAAGAATATATTTTAGGCATCTCAATATTATGAGCATTTCGTTTTGTCATGCTTCTTAAGCAATAAGAATATACAGTCAGTATATTTCCAAAGGTTATCACTTGAGAATCTGGAAGTGTAATATATCTAAATATTTGTTCACCAATAACTAAAATAAGTTTATACATCTGAAGAGAATCACTGAAAACAGCTGGCGTAGACGTGATATCCGGCTGGCGATCGACCAAAGGGCGGGTGTACTGCTCATCAGTACGCTCCGTCCTCCTTTATGGCTGGCTGCGAGACATGGCCATTGAAAGTGTAAGACATGAAAAGATTAGCTGTCTTTGATCATAGGTGCCTGAGCTCTATCTCCCGTGTGAAGTGGCATAATAAGGTGAACAATATTAAGGTTAGGCCTCGGTCGAGTGCTAGGTAAGGAGGGGAAATCAACAGACGAGGCTGTGAAATTACATCGACTGAGATGGTCAGGACATGTTTTACGTATGCCTAGTCATCGCCTTCCTCGATGGGCAATGTTAGCTGATATAGTGTCAGGCTGGAAAAGAGCTAGCGGCGGTCAAACCAAAACATGGCTTCATCAGTCAATGAAATCCACAACAGTTAGTCTAAGCCATGTAGGAAGGTGTAAACTTCCTAACTGGTTGGGGTCCTCGGGACGGTAAAAACCAATGGTTGCAAACAATTGTTGATCGTTCTCAATGGCTGGCGCAGATGCATCCACTCCTTGTGACTTATGATTTCCAATGAAACTATATTGTTCTTCGTTATTACTACTCCTTTGTCTCACACCTCAACTTACTGTCTCTATTATGCATTTCTTCTAATTTCTCCTCTTGCTTTCTGTGCTACATGGAGTGTGGTGACTTGAACTGCCGCACATATGTGCAAAGTTCTATGTCAAAAACAGACAGACAGACTAACTGGAAACAGTTCCCTGTGTAACAAGTAAGAATCATCAGCAATGCAATATGCTTTGAGAGTTGGTAACTGATTCATCTGCCTTGTTAGAAAGCTTACTAACGTCATAAGAAGCATGAAATCTTTGAACCTTATGACTTTAATCAGCAAAATATTTTCGTAATATTTTATACTTCCATTACTCACAACAATCCCAAACGCATAGTTATTCTATTAACAACAACTCAAGGTAATTATTATTATTATTGTCATTACGATGAAAACAAAATCCTATTTACTGCTTTGAGTGTGTAAATCACAAAATATGCAGTGAATACAAAATGAGAATGCTTACACTTCGTTGTCGAACTTACTACACTGCTTAATTGAAGGTTTCTGAACTGCTCCTATATTTTTTTAAGCTTAAAATTTGGCGACTAGGCCTCGACTTTAGTACGTAAATACACTTACAGTAAGAGTTCAAGAAGCTTACATTAAAATACAGAGTTACTTCTTACAACAATCAAGTTATGAATCAAGATAACATATTTTATGAAGCCAATTTATTCTCATCTTATCACTAAATGTTATTGTGAATTTAACTGCACAATCATGTTATGTTGAATAAAAATACATAAATGAAAAACTTTTTATCTAAAACTTAAGAGAATTTGCAAAACATGAACTTACTAGAGGCAAATCAAGTGCTTGGGTACACTGAATAGAGTCTGTACAACGAAAACCACCCACATCTTTGATTTCATAATCCGTGGAAAAAGGAACATGTACGACAGGGCCTGAGTAAACATCAGCTTGCTTCAAACACGAATCATGGGCATTTTCGGGTATTAAATAGGCAGAAACCTGTGTGTTATCTTGCGTGATTAGCGAGTTCGGAAAGTTCGAGACGAATATAGTAGCATCTCCATAACACTCAGGGTTCTGATTTTCTAAAATGGGTGGGCATTCTGAATACACTACAGCATTACTTAACCCTTCAGGTAAGGACTTGTAATAAGTTGCTTCAGAAGGATCGTAGCAACTATAACCATGAGGATTTATTGGAACAAAATCGTAGTTTAAACACTCAGTAGTCTGACCAACTATTTCATAAGAATCTATCCGAGCCGGACAAACGCTGTATCCACCAGTATAATTTTGTCCATTAGCATCATAGGCTTGTACAGTATGAATACATACAGACGAGTCCACATAAAAATCTGGATAGTTTTCAGTGGACGAATTGTGCCAGGTCAACATGCCATTCTTGGGTTCACCATTACAATCATTTGTACGTGTTGAATCTGGATTTACTTCTAGTTGCGATGCAAAACTCTGAGCCACACTCTCTACAAGTACTTCTTGTGGATAATCAAATGAAGGCTGTACATTAGATATCGTAGAATTTCCGTGCTCCGGTCTATAGGCAAGCTGCGGAGTCTTAGGGACATCCGAACAAGCTGGAACGGGAATATATGCATCCTTTTCGAAGGTGTTACCTTCTTCAAAATCTATATGAAGATTCTGTAGGAAGTTTGATTCGTTAAATACTTCGGGCATAATGCTACCTGAAGCGTGTATAGCCTCCTCAGATGGCCACATCAAAGTTTGTGGTACACAATCTCCATAGCCATTGATATTACTTTGGTTTGTGTAAGAAGTAGATGAATTGGGAAAGCTTATTGGTATGTAAACTTCATTCTGTAACGCATATTCTGGAAGCATATGAAAATCATCAGATAAGTTGCTTGCGCAAGTTTCAGTCTCGGAAACTTCAAAGGTAGCAAATGAATTGCCAACAGTTTCAGAACTAGAAGTCCAATTACTTGCGCCTTCATGTTCGAAATCAACAACAGCATTTGGTAAATTATGCCAATTCAAATCTGATAAGGAATTTGGTGCAGAATCTGTGTAAACAGTAAGCAGCTTGTGTTGAAGATTTGAAGAAAACGTAGAATCCGGTACCGTCATTTACAGTAGACTGGTGGTGGTGCTAGTGGAAAAAAGACATATGAACAGAGATATACTAATTAATCGGTCAACTAAAATATAAGAAAGAATGAGACTCACATTTATGAACATCGGATACGTAATTAATATTAGAATAATAGACGATTCCTTTAGAATTCTCACTGCATGTCCACAATGAGTTAAAGACGTTCAGATAACAGAAGCATACAGGTGTGGAAAACAAACGAGCGTTACTCAACAAACAACTACATTTGTATGCAGTGGACTAATGACATAACGTATTCGCTCGAATCTCATAAGAAGAAGTGGGGTTCAAACCAGTTGTCAACTCAAGTAATGGGTCACAGCCTCACAAAGGTATACAACAGAATGACAAAAACATTAGACTAAATTCAAATAACCTTTAGTTTAAAGAAACAGGTGTAAAGTTCCACTTACCTTATGGTCAAGATGTATGCCGTTAAACGTTAGAGTAATAATTTAACATCACTCCTAAAGGAGATACTCGCAGATATATACGAAATCATGGAAATTCAGAAACGCACATATATCATTTTTGACTGGGACAAATTTGCACCAATAATTACTGGTGTCGACGAAGAGAACATAAAACTTTAAGGCTATTAGAAAGAACATATTCTTCACAGAAAGATGAATATCACCTAACTAATCGTATCTCCAACCCTCCGAAATGAAATTATACATGGAAACTGGCATGCAACAGAATTATGCTCTAGTATCTCATAAAGTTTGGATTTTTTCACAGAATATGCAGGTTTTAATTCATGTATTCACCTTCGGTGGTCAAAAATCTGAGGGTTAGCTGTCATTGGACCCCAAGTGTTACATGTGTTGTTGGTAGTTGACAACTTGTAAAAATTCCTGACACGTAAGTACAAAGATAAACAGTTATATATCAATTTATATAATTTTAAATGACGTCATTCGTAGGATAATGGATTACCAGTGTGAACAAGAAAAAAATTCATATATTGTAAAAACAACGACTTTTATATCCTTACATTTACAGTATCAGTTGCAAGTCAAATTCAAATCTTTATTTGTGAGAAATATTGCATGTAATTGGATGACGCACTTCACCATGTATATTCCCTACGGCGTAGACATGAATGTACTGAGGTAACAAAGTAATTCTGAATTTTAAGGCATGCAAATCCTGCTGATTTCGCAAGACATTCAAAGATAACCAGGTGTCTCTTTTCCAACTGATGCACAAACGAGAAGTAACGTCAACTCCATATAACGCGCCTTCTATCGTACAATATTAAATTTGATGAGCGGATATGAACGAACAACACCTGTGTTTACCGCATCTTATTAACAGATAGAAGCTACTAGTAATTAGTAGACCTCTGAGCAAAGTTGAGAAATAGTGGCTCGAGGGGACAAACATGCTGTTTAAAGTTTGCAGATTCTTTATTACATTGAATAGTGAAGTCAAATGTCTCCACCAACGTTTCACCAGTGATGAATTCCAAAAGGTGCGAGAAATTCCTTTTACACAACATGACATTGCCCTGTATCTCCCGAATAGCTGATACTGTCTTAAGGTATAATGAAGTGGTAAAGCTTCAAGTTTTCAAAAATATGGTATCCTAATCATCATGTTCCATCATATTCGTCTATTTCTATCGCTTTCACCAGTTTTTCAACCTTTGTCTGAAGCCTTTGCTACGAGCGAATAAACGATTATGAATGTACAGAAGATTGGGAAAATATACGAGTAACTGACTATTTCTATCACTAATCATAAAAAATACTTTGGATTTATCTTTAAGGCTTAAGGCATGCATCAAGACGTTGACTGTGTCAAGACCACAAAAAAGATGTCATTTTACACGGATGTAATGGTGATATTTCATTCTGCGAAAACTGTTCTTGATTTATTCAAATGTGCTTTCCTCCCGTTCCCTCTTTAGAATAATTTGTTATTGGAGAGCAGGTCCTCATTTTATTACACTATGTTCCACTTTCACATTACTGCTTACCGGATAGTAATAAGATGTGGACGTTTTCACGGAGTTGCCTATCCGCTTTTAAAAATTTGGAGGGCATACTGAGCAACAAACTGCTTTTGATGTGATATAACCCAATTATTTTTATAGCAGCTGCAACAGTCGCTTAATGTATTGTCAGTAATAAGGTTACACGCCTCTCAAAACAGTCCACATTATCATTAACGTATCCAGAGTTTAAACTGCTTAGGAGCATGAAAAAAGTAGAAAAAAGTCCTACGTATAGTCTTTGTTGAAAGGTGTTATCGTAAGGTGATCAATAGCTGTTCACCACATTTACCAACAGACCACAGAGAGGTAGTCTCAATTTTTGGTGTAAACTCCTGCATTGTCAGTTCTGCAAACCAATCAGCCTCTGTGTCATACAATCATCTGACTGGATTATGATCTTGCCATCCTGTACATCTGAAGAAATATTCTGTGCAAGCCGCTGCTCTATCCAGTCTAATGAGTAATTCTTTCATTTCAAGAGGTGTTTTAACTAAGACGATTGTTCTCAAATACAACGGAGTTCACCTGTTATCCAACACTTCTATATCCATCATTCGTTGACTTCTAAGACCAGCAGGATGTACTCAAAGATAATTTATTACAGCATGCTATCCAATGAGTACTAAGTAGCTGGTAAGGTACTCACTTCGTTAAAGATTTGCAGAATTTGTTTGGCGGTCGTGAATACTTGTGCGTGAATGGCTTCATTGCATATTCACGCTAAATTTAGTGTCGTAGTTCGTTGCTATGGAGGTTTAATGACAAATTATATGTTTTGTACGTCGTTAAAATGAAATTTTGCATTTAAAACTTATCTGGAGCAGACGCTATTGGTGGAATTACATTCCATAACTACGTTAAGCTTACTGCACTCGTACTAAAAACTCTGGCTTCATACTGATATCTGTGCAATGTAATGAATTAAATGATGCAGTGAGTTCAGAAGTCAAACGTATCTTATTGAATTTTCATGAAATCATGCTGGTGTTTTTCGCTCTATTGATTGAAATGCCCTGATACCCACCGCATAAAGGTGGCATCACTTCAGAAGAGGTGTAGGGTATATAATCATCCCTTGAAAACACCGTAAATTATAACAGCAAACCAAAGTGAAAGGAATCACCAATTGATTCGATAACACAGTCATCACCTTGAATGTTACATTATAATCTTCCTCTCTGAGCATCAACGAATGGAATTTTCTTTGCGACGTTTTCTATTGTGTCTTGACGTTACACAATCGCCATTCCAATACGTTCCAATGCATAGATTAATAAGGCATGTGACAAGCATTCATTTTTACAGGCATTACAAAACATGATCTAATTCTATCGACTGGGGTGGGCGATTATATGGCATGTATATCATGTTCTACGTTTCATGACCTAGATGATATCTGTGGATGAGTTTCTTTAATTCACATATACTTTTTAATGGATAATAATTATTAGTAATTTTTCAACACTCGATATCTTTTCAGGGCGACGTAGTACAAGTTGACTACTCGCTTTGGTAGTTGTCTAGAATGGATATTGTACATCATGATTGACGGTGGTTCATATATATTTTTAGTGATCGGTAATATCGCTTGCCACTGCACCGGGCGTTTTAACTTATCACTTTATCGTCTTGTTGCCGACCAGTATTTGTTGTTTTTACTCACGTTAAATGAAATATTCACCCCAACACGTAAAATTGTCCACCAGCTTGCTTGTAAATAACTTGAAAAAAGCCAAAAGGAACTGACAGTCAGAGCAGTCGGTCATTAGAAACTTCTTTTTTGTTTTAAATAAGGCAACCGATAGAAGTAGATGAGATCTGTAGCTCAGATGAATAACTCACATATTGGAGCTTGCCCTGAAGCTGTTGTCCAGAAGGAAAATGAAGTCAACCAGTGCAGAGAACACAAACAAATCCAAAATAGCAATTAGTTTTCATGACATTCAGTAGTTCCATATACTGCAGGTCTTCTGTGTACTGTGGCTTACTGGCCTAAGCCTTTGACTCCTATCTAGGGTTTCGCAGGTTCAAAACTCACTCAACTTATCAGGGGTCGGGCAACTTGGCAATATCACGAGTCCCTAAATGATAGGCGTGGCTCATCGGTAGCTATGCGGGACTGCAAGTAGTTGTAGAGTAAGATTTCATTTCACAAGTGGTTCAAAAACTTAAATTCTCTCAAATAACAGGCCAAATCAGTGGATATGAAGAATGTCAGAAAGATTTTTAATACTTCCAAGTATCCAGACCTAATTGAAACAGTTTGATTTTCTTCTTAATTTTAATTTGATCTCTTCTTCCTTAGGGATTTTTGGGATTGAAGGCATGAATAATAAGATGGTAACTACAGTATGCTCATCCTATTCCATAATGGATATGATTTTATTTTGATAAATCACACAGTGTAGTACAGTTATATTAACTGATGACCACGTTTAGAGCACAAACTATTGCCCATAATCATATCAAGTTACTCACACAACTTCTTTCCTTCATTTATATACATGTGTGGAATCGACTAGATATTGGAATAAAATTCAATATGAGATAATGTACATTCAGAAATATTAGTACGAGTGTTATTAATCCATTGCAATTAGATGGGAAATACGACGAGTGTTTTTATAGTCATAATAAGTTGATTGTTAGAATGTGCTGATGTGTTTGAATGGAAATAGAATTTTAAGATTATTTATTATCCTCTTCTGATTTGACTGGTGGCAATAATACGAGTGTTATTAATCCATTGCAATTAGATGGGAAATACGACGAGTGTTTTTATAGTCATAATAAGTTAATTGTTAGAATGTTATGATGTGCTTGAATGGAAATAGAATTTTAAGACTATTTATCATCCTCTTCTGATTTGACTGCCCATCCTATTCTTCATCTCAAATGTAACTATTTACATGGCCAGAAACAGTCTGTTGATCGGATTCCAGTAAGAGCTGGATAGCCAAAATCGCGGAATAC